ATATAATATTTTTATATAACATATATATAAATGCTATTCATGTGTGATAAAAAAAAGGCCAACAGCCCGAAACGCGTACTTGGTTGGCTTTTCTTGATTTATCAAGAAAATGAGTTTGCCAAATTACCATAGAACAAGTTAAACCAGCGTTTAGTTTATTTTTGTTCCACTAGATGGCGCAAAGCCTTATCCTGACCGCTCACATGAGCAGTTTTTTTAGATGGAAGAGCGCCATCTAGTGGAACAAAAATCAATTAAACGTTGATTTAACCTGTTCCTTGATATTTGGCCAACCTAATTTCTTGTTAAATCAAGAAAAGATAACCACGAACGCGTTTCGGGGTGTTGGTCCTCGTCTGACAAGGCCATATGTAAATAAGAAAAACAAATATTTTTTTACGATTTTCTTTTATTTTTTTCAAATAAAACAATATTTTGTTTCCTACTCTTCTTACTGCTATGAAAAATATGTTTTCGAAATATTAATGTTTCTCACTTATATTAATATTAGAAAAAAACTTTACCTTTTTAGCTTTTAGTTTATATCTACTTATATATTTGCCTTATTCTGTTTGTCTGTTTATTTGTCTGAAGCTCACGGATGGGATTTTTCATAACCATCGGTGGTTCAGTGGTAGAATGCTCGCCTGCCACGCGGGCGGCCCGGGTTCGATTCCCGGCCGATGCATTTTTTTTTTTTTTTACAATTTTTAAAACTCATTTATATATTATACAAGAATGACATCCACGGCGCCAATTTATAATTGTAACAAATAGTATTTGAATAAAAGCATTTAATCGGGTAAAACCCGGGCGTTGCCCGGGTCATTCGTATCTACTTATATATTTGCCTTATTCTGTCTGTTTGTTTGTCTGAAGCTCACGGATGGGAATTTTCATAACCATCGGTGGTTCAGTGGTAGAATGCTCGCCTGCCACGCGGGCGGCCCGGGTTCGATTCCCGGCCGATGCATTTTTTTTTTTTTTACAATTTTTAAAACTCATTTATATATTATACAAGAATGACATCCACGGCGCCAATTTATAATTGTAACGAATAGTATTTGAATAAAAGCATTTAATCGGGTAAAACCCGGGCGTTGCCCGGGTCATTCGTATATAATAATTGTATAAACGAATGCAAGACAAAATCACCGCGAATGTTTCTTTTTTTTAAGGCAATTTCTTTTTAAGGCAATTATCGTTATTTATCGTTAATTTTTGTTTCGATTTTATTGAAAAAAAACGATATGGTGCCTTTAAAAAATGATTTTTATTACTATGCAGTTTTCTATTTAGTCAATATACCTAAGTTCATGTTGCAAATGTAATTATCTCTATCGATTTAGTAGGTGAAATGCAAAAAAAAAAAAAATCGACATGATGAAATCTTTATGAAAATTCACATTTTTATTTTTATATTTTCAAGACACACACAGTTTGGAACGGGACGTTTCACAAGAGTGACATCCATGGCGCCAATTTATAATTGTAACGAATAGTATTTGAATTAAAACGTTTTTAAAATATATACGCACTCGGGTAAAACCCGGGCGTTGCCCGGGCCATTCGTCTAGTTTTTAATATATGAATAAAAAATGTGCGTAAAAGAAAAATATTATATAAATAATGAATATATATTGAAAGTCTCTCTCTATATGCATATATGAATTATTTTTTATTAAACTTTATGATATATTAAATATAAATTTTAAGAATGACGATTTTTTTTAATAGATAATAATTTATATATTTAATTTTAAAATATATAATTTAAAAAGTGCATACAATTTTAAAAAGAGAGAGTAAATGAATAGTTTAATACAATTTCAGAAATTATATTTAAAGTTACGTTATTATAATTATTATTAAATTGTATTTTTATTCACAGAATATTTACTGCGCGCGCGCGCGGTCCACAAATTTATATCAAAATGATAAATTCAAAATTTTCGTTTGGAGCTAAATTAGTTTTGGCGGGAAAAACAACAAAATTATTTTTATCGAATGAGAGAGAAAATGTGTCGGAATCTTTATAACAATTCCCATTTCGGTTTACCATAATTTCCTTTAAAGTTTCTTCTTCTTTTTATTTCTTTTTTTTTTAAACTCAAGTTTGGTGAAATCGACAATTAAAATAAATTGAAAATGGAGAGAGGGTGTTGACAGTAAATGTAAAAATTAATGGATTTAAAAGGCAAGACACAACTCAATTTAGACTTTGTTCGCCGGAATTTATTTTAAAAGCGCGCCAAATTTAGAAACAAAAGTGTCAAAACAAACGACCGCCTTTCCTGTTAAGTTTTGGCGCGAAAAATAAATCTTCTGATAATTGTTTATTAACCCTAACTTGAAAAGGCGGGAAACGCGTTTTCTGTTTATTGCTTTGTAATATAAGTGAAAATAAAAAATGTGCATTTTTTATTCAATTTTTGTAAATAAAATATATTATAAAATATTTTTTAAAATGTGCAATATTAATGAGAGATAGAGAGAGATAATTAAAAAATATATATTTTTAAAATTAAAATATGAATTATACAATGATATAAAATATTTAAAAAATTAAGGAGATTTAATAAATTACACAATATAGTTTAAACTTACACTCATGGACAAAACTTAAGGAAGTTGTACCTTTTAGCATGTATATCGGGATTGAGACAATAACTCTGAAAGATATCGCAGTAACCTTTATTGAAGAAAAACGAGATAACCAAGTGTGAACAGCCTCTGTCTCCTTCAAAAAAAAAAAAAAAAAAGACGACCGGCGACTTCAAAAACTTTCCACTTCCTTAAGTTTTGTCTACGAGTGTAGTGTTGTAGTTTATAAATTAAATAAACAACCCAACATTGATGTTTGGCATTGGGATTTAATATTATTTTATAAATTATATCAGATATCTATATAACGCTGAAGATTTAAAAACTTATTTATATTTTAAAATTTTTATATAGATATATTTGTGAAAAAATAAAATCATAAAAAGTATTTTTATCTTTCCTAACACGCCGTGTCGTGTATTGAAAAATATTAGTTTATTAATAATATATTTATCCTCTCGCTCTAATAAATATGCAATTATGCAAATAATTTTCTACCACTTTTTGTTCCAGCAAATTTAATCCCCCCTAGTTGCATATATCGTTACCCGTTATGTAAATAGGGTATCGCTAAATTGCCAACTCCTCTGACGTTTGTCTTCTTCCATTCTCTACGTGTGACAATATTTACACAATTCCATATTTTTGTCATATTCAATGTTTGCTATATTGAATGGTACATGTTTACAAGGATCAATAGGTTACATTAGATGTTGAAATGTGCAAGAAATCCCCCCCCCCCCCCATGTTCACTCTTTGATTTTAATTTTGTTCGATAAAGAGCGAGAGTTCGAAAGCTTCTTGTTTTGATAATAATAAAAAAAAAACTTGCTGGAAAAGTGAAAAATGTTACAAAAGTGAAATCAGATGATCAGATGGATATATTAAGAAAAGGGTATCTGCTAATCGTACAACTGAAAGTTACTGATGGCTTTCGCCATCTTTTAGCTACACGATTTAATATATCCTACCTAATCAGAGACCCCATAACAATTGTAAACACCCCCAAAAACCAGGCCCTGAACTAGACTTAATTGCACACCTACTTGACCCCAATATACTCATCCTTGGAGACTTTAAGATAAGAGGGGGGGGGGGGGGGGGTCGGTGGAAGGCTGGTTAAACCGTTTGGTTTTCGACCACTACGACCCGGGTTCGATTCCCGCATTGGACACTTTTTTTCTTTTTAAAAATAAATTTAAAAAAATGCTCCAATGGCCCCCGATTCTTGCAAAAATACAACCCCACCAGCGAGTGCAAGTAACCAAACGGGGCTCTGGCACATTTGTAAGTGCAAAGTCGAACTGCTTTTCACATGTGTAGACATGTGGTGCGCTTACAGTAAAAAAAGCAGTCGCTAACTACCCACCATGATTATCATGACCTGTAGCACGTGTACTAGGGATAAGCAAAAAAAAAAAAAAGATAAGAAAGAAGAAACCTAACCTAGCGTATTGCTATACTCAGTAGCACGTTACCATAAGTGATCCGTATTAATGAGTAGCTCAGCGATTTTTTTCTCTGTCTATTGTTTTCTATAAGTTTAGTTGAAAGATCAGGAGATCCCTTTTTCTTCATTTATCCACCTGATCTCAGTAAAATTTTGTACTTTTATTTCATATGGTTTGGCGTTCTCATGCCCTTCTAGCCTTAAATATAACAACAACAACAAAAAGCCTTTATTTAGGGTCACTGACCCTATACAGGATTCACCAGAGGTATACATAAGAACAAAGCAGTGAGACAAAGGAAATAACAATATAGACAGAAGAAAATTTAAAAAAAAGAAAAAAAAAACAAGAAAGAGAAAGAGGGAAGCAAGAAAAACAACAAAAAGAGTAGCAGTAAGAAAGTGAGGAGTGGGTGTCACTTGGCCTTCTTCTGAGATATGGACTTGTGGAAACCATAAAACGCCGTAGCAATATACTTATTCTGGGTCATATTGTCAATTATTGATGGAAGTGAAGCACAGAGTTGCCCTCCGGCCTTAAATATATGTTTCATGATTTTTCAGGATGTCTGGAAGACCAGTTTTATTTTTAGTTGTTGAGGTACAGCTTGTCACCACGCTGACGAGGGCTAACAACCCGAGACACGTACATGGTTAGCTTTTCTTGATTAATCGATAATGGGTATTTGCCCAATTCTGAAATAATTTTAAAAAATCAAATTAAACGAATTTATATTTAAATACAATACGTACTGCGCGGACAATGAGTTTAAAATTATGTTGATCAAGTGGGTAGACGAACATTTAAAACGAAAGTTAGTTTGAGAATTATTTATATCGCTTTTGTTTTGTTTTTTTAATGAAAGTCCAAATACACTCATGGACAAAATTTAAGGAAGTTGGACCTTTCAACATGTATATCAGGATTGAGACAATAACTCTGAAAGATATTACAGTGAGCTTTATTGAAGACATATGAGATAACCAAGTGTATGAACAGTCTCCTTCAAAAAAAAAAAAAAAAAGATTAGAATACCCGCGATATTAAAGACTCCACCTCCTTAAGTTTTGTCCGTGAGAGGAAATATTTATTTTTGTGCTAAAGATGTTCCTTAGCTAATTATAGTTTTAAAAGAGAAAACGAAAAATAGCGTGGTGAGTTTCTTTTATTAAAATTAAAATTACAAGCTTTCAAGCAAAATGCTTTTCTTCAGGTAATCCAAGAAAAATATATATGTGGAGAGGTAAATACACCCACCTAAGTAAGATTTGAAAATTAAAGCAGAATTGCCACGAACAAGCACGTATCAACACAACTAGAGAGCGAGCGAGAAATTCAGTTTAAAATAAATAAAATATATACATAATTCGGGAAAACACTTGAGGTTAAACTTCCTTATGCGGGGTCCATATTATTACAAAAAGCTATGTACTGCGGGGGTAGCTCTATTTTTCTATTGAGGCTTGGAATTTTATTGGAAACCAAAGCCTCCAGGACCAGTCTTTGATATTTTCCGCTTATGTTACTGTAAATACATTGGGTGTCTGTGAAATCAAATGAATGCTGTGTTTCTGCCATGTGCTGATAAATCTGGGAACGGCTGTCTTTGTTCATGATGTTTCTATTGTGTTCTTTAGTCCTGATTTCTATGGTTCTGCCGGTTTCACCAACATAATGTAGTTCGCAATTTGAGCATTTAATTTTGTACACTGCGTTAGAGGCGGATAGTGGGTCCTGCTTTATAGAACTTTTTGTGATGGGATGCCGGAGTTTGAGTTCGACGGAAGGTGAATTACTAAAATGCGTGCGAACACCGTATTTTCTCAAGAAACGGGCAATATCAACGTTGGTTTCGGAATACGGGAGAACGCAAGTCGATTTGTAAACGTTTGGGATTGTATATGTACGTTGTTGGTACGTATGGCGCCGGATAAAATCTATGGAATAACCGAAAGACGAAAGGTTACGATAAATGTTATTTCTCTCGACCGTCCTAAAGATTTCTAGAGAACAATGAGTAGAGATCCTTTTTGTTAGTGTTTTGATAGTTGTGATCTTATGAGATGCAGGTGCATGAGAACCATAATAAATATACGTGGGGTTAAATTCTGGTTTGTAGTATACCGTGGTTTCTATGTTGCTGCCGTGATATGGGGGAGATCGGAAGAAGCCAGGAGTTTTCTGAGTTCTTTGATGATGAGGTCGTGGGGGAGACATAAAAAGAGGGATTTTACATCATACGTGCAGATGGAGTAGTTTTCTGAGTTATCTATTTCTTTTAATTTGTGGATAAAGTCGCTTGAGTCTTGAATAAAATGGGAATTATATGTCTTGATCAACGGTTTTAAGACATAGTTTTATTCGGCTATTCTACCAAAAATAATGTTTAAACTAAAATATAAAAATATAGACAATATTGGTGTGTGTGTGTGTGTGATAAAAGAAAAAGTACTTAGAGACAACAATGGACAAATATTAGCTGAGCTATTCATTTCTACGGGATGGTAAGGTGCCGCTGAGTATATCAATATACTAGGTTAGGTTTAGTTATTTGCTTGTTTATTTTTTAAATGAAACTGGTTTTGTTTATACCGTGATATATATATTAGGCCTAGCTCGGAATAATACAATCAGCTGATGTGCTTTCACCGTTCGCAGTAGCTAATTTATTTCGTCTCAGTTTACAGACATTCGAGCATATCTGACCTGGTCCTAACTATTTACATATGGCGATATATATACTCTGCCTTTGCCGGTCCCAAGCCCGGATGAAAAAGGAGGAGCAGTAACAAGCTCGGTAAAAAACCTGGGCTCAGCTGGCCCGGCTGATAGTACCCTGTAAGGGCTCCTAATCCAGGGATACAGGATGAGCAGCGTTTGTACTCCATGTTAGGAGCGGCTGCACATGGCGTCTGTTCCTCATGTCAGAGGCGGCCATTTCTTTTGGAGTTAAATCGGCCTGCCACTGAGTAGTGCCCCCAGTCTTAATGACAAAGGCAGACGCATTCTACTTCACCCAGTGTGGAGATAAGAAAGAAGAAGAAGAGACATATAGCGAGTTGGTAGAGTAGATGTGACCTCCAAGACCTTGCAGGCGGGCAGCTTTAGTATTTCTATTTATAGTGTTACGACGCTTTTCAGCGGTTGTTGTTTGCGTACAAGACTCAATGTAGGTTCGTTGTGGATAACAGCTTAGTTCGTTATATTTTATTGTCAGTTAATGGAATGGGGAACTAGATAGATGGACTTGTCTCCAATGTCCACCTTCAGAAGTATATTCCTCTTCAACGTTCCGCTTCACACTATACACGTCCAGCCTGGACTACACCGCTTTGTAGGCCGCTCCGATGTCAGTCTCTCCTGGCACCGTCTTACAAGATTATCTACACGTCTGGAGGCAACACGCTGCTCCATCCACTTGCCGCAGATATGACCAGACTCTGTCCTCCCCTAAACCGGAATGCTGTTTTTGGCGTCTGTTCCCCTCACACATAGCAGCTGAAATCCACCCATCTTTCCCAAACTTTTACTCTGGTATCTTAGCCTTTCAGATAGCTTTTCATCCATTTTACAACAGAAAAATGAAAAAAGAATACTCCAGAATTGTTCACATTTTAAACATTTTAGGATACGTGTCATTTGAGATTATTGATTGAAAAGATATGATTTGCATATGTATGTTGACTATTATCTAACTGACACCTTAAATATAGTAATATGCAAATAAAAATATCAGTGGTATGCAAATTAAAATAATTGAATATTTAGATAAAAAAGTCACTTATTTATAAAGGTATTAAGAAGTTGGCGTTATTTTTTGGACCATTCTTGAATATTTAATAGAATTTAGAGAAATGTTTTTTAAAAAATAACATTTTACAATAAAAAGTGCAATTAATTTTTAAATCAGACAAACATTATTTCGATAAAAAAAAATAAATATGAGATGCTTATATTTAAGAAATGGTTAGTGTAAAAAATATATATATTTTGATGTAAAACGTTTATATTTATTTTAAAATTTAAACATTTGTTGTATCTTTTATACGGGTTCATTTACCTTTAGCTTTATATATATTTAATATAGTTACAGCCTTTATGTATATAGACAATTAATATACCGCCGTGCTAGAACAATTATATATTTATTATGCGGCGTTGTTTACATACTGTGTTGCCAGATCTTTTGTAGCACAGTTTATAACTATATACAACATGTTCCCCTTTTAATTAAAGTCCGGGGTCGAATCTTTTCGGAGGCTTTACCACACGTCCACTTCTAGTGGTGTAGGCAGTGCCTCCTTCATTGTAGTTTCCTATGGGAGTTGAAGTGGAAGGGGCCAACTCTTCAGGACTGAGGTTCAGGCGGGGAAATTCTCCTGGTTCCCTTTGACCACTGGACTCCGATGATGTCGAGGGGGCTGGATCCAATTGGGGCGATGACTGGCTGCTCCTTCTCTGTCCAACAGGATAACTTCTGGGCCGTAGGTGAACTCTGTTCCGTTTTAACATTCGGCCCTCGTTGTTCTGAATGATGTATGATCGAGGCTGGTTGGCTTCTCCAATGATGGTAGCTGGTCTCCAGGCATCGCTAGTTTTGGCATTTACCTGTTCACCAGAACTCATTTTAGGAAGTATTTTGGCATTTCGGTCATAATATTCTTTCATCTTATATTGATTTTCCCTCTTCTGCTGTAGAATGTTTTCCGTGCTAATGAAAGCAGGTTTTAGCTTTGTGGTTTTCATTGGGATCAAGGTTCTCAAGTTTCTTCCCATTAGCATCTGAGCTGGGGACGGTAGATTATTTGACGGAGTTGTTCTCAGGGCTATTAAACACATATAAGGATCAGTGTTGTCTTGACGGCATTTCTTAAGTTGCTTCTTTACTGTTTGCACCATCCTCTCCACTAATCCGTTTGATTTTGGGTATCCTGGGCTAGAGGTTTTATGTTCTATGTCCCATTCATTTGTAAAATTAGTAAAGTCTTGTGATGTAAATGGTGGTCCATTATCAGTGATGATGATCTCTGGAATCCCATGTCTTGCGAAGGTAGATTTCAAAACTGGTAGAATCTCTTTTGCTGAAGTTGATGCTACCTTGATGACTTCAGGAAAGCTGCTGTAGTAGTCTACTATTATTATGAATACAGATTGGTCTAGATAGAAGAAATCAATAGCTACTTTTTGCCAAGGGTAGTCTGCTATTTCGTGAGGTATAAGTGGTTCTTTCCTTTGCGAAGGTTGTGATTCTTGACAAATTCTACACTTATAAACCATCTCTTCTATTTCTCTATCCAGTCCCGGCCAATAAATAGCTTCATGTGCTCTGTTTTTACAAGCAGAGATCCCTTGATGAGACATGTGTAGTGTTTGCAAGATGCTTTCCCTTTGGACTTTAGGGATGACAAGTCTTTGTCCTCTACAAATCAGGTCTTTCCATATATATAGTTCTTCTTTACAATGCCAGTAGGGCTTAACAGCATAGTCCACACTTTTCTTATGAATAGGCCACCCATTCAGTATATGATCCCTTAATTTTATCATTTCTTCATCTGACTCCATATCTCTGAGAATTTCCTGGTATCTTTTAGTGGTCACCTTCAGATTTAGAGTCATAATGGTGTTCTGGAGATCCAGATCTGAGGTGTCGATGGTTTCCTCTGAAATTGAATCTCTAGATAGAGTGTCTGCGGTGTGAATCACTTTTCCTGGTACATATTCTAAATTAAAATCATATCGCATCAATTTCAAGACCAGTCTTTCAAGTCTTGGAGATAATTCCTCTAGTGGCTTTTTTAGTATAGCCAACAAGGGTTTATGATCCGTCTGGGCTGTGAACTTTCTTCCATACAAATGATAGTTAAATCTTTGGCATCCATACCAGAGAGCTAAGAGCTCCTTTTCAATCTGGGCATATTTTTTCTGAGTGTTATTCAAGGATGCGGATGCAAAAGCGATGGGTCTTCCCTCTTGCATCAAGACAGCCCCAAGCCCATGTTGACTAGCGTCCACTGAAAGTGTTACCTTCCGATGGGGGTCAAAGAGGCCAAGAACTGGAGGATTTGATACCAAATTTTTCAGCTCAATGAATTCTTTTTCTATAGCCTCATTCCATGTCCACAGGGTATTCTTTTTTAGGAGTTGTCTTAACAAGACAGTTTTATCTGCCAGATTATGCATGAATTTAGCTAGATAGTTCACAGTTCCCAAAAATCTTTGAAGAGATGTCTTGTCCATTGGTCTTTTTATTTTTTGTATTGCTTCTAATTTAGATGGATCTGCAGAGATGCCATTCTTGGATATCTCATGTCCAATGAACTTAACTTTTTCTTGGGCCAGTTGCATTTTATTGAATTCAAACTTTAAATTATTTTTTCCCAGAGGTACATGAAGCCTTGCATTTGCCCCTTATTGGTACTTTTTCTCCTGTATATGAATAAACCGCAATCCCAGTTGGATATATGCAGGGTTTATTTTGCCAATTTTTAATGGTATCCAATGGCAGGATGTTCACCTGTGCTCCTGTGTCTAATTTAAAATTAACTGAATTATTCTCCACCAAGATTATTTTAGTCCACTCTAGACCAGTAATGCTATCTAGGGATAGGTATTGAAGACACATTTCTTCTTCCTCTTCCGCTCTTCCCTCCAACATATGCACTCTGTTCCTACACATTTTAGCAAAATGGTTTGGTTTTTTACATGAATTGCATATTTTACCATATGCAAAACATTTACCATATGGATGTCTGGAACCACAATTTTGGCAAACCTTTGCATTAGGATGTTCCTCAGATACATTAGGTTTTCTACCAACTGGATATTTGAAATTCTTTTTATATTGCTTTTTATATTTTATAGAATGTAAATCAACATCTTCTCTAGTTATATTTTTTACTTGTTGTCTAGAAGTTTCAGTAGCTCTTCCCAAGTCTATGGCTTTAGCTAAAGAAAGATCAGGATCTTGTAGCATCCTTTCTTTTAAAGCTTTGTCTTTAATTCCAATTATAATTCTATCTCTGACCAAGGAATCTGCAAGCTCTCCAAATTCGCAGTCCATGCTTTTATTTTTCAATTCAGTTACATAGTCATCAAAATTCTGATTCTCCCCTTGTTCCGTTGTAAAAAACTGGTACCTCTTATAGGTTGTGTTTTTATATGGTTTAAAGTGTCCATCAAACAGTTCAAGTATATCCGGAACAGTCGGAGAGGCATCAGTTTCTTGTATTTTAAATGTAGAGTATATATCTAGGGCTAACTCACCAATATTATAGAGTAGAATAGCCCTTTGTCTTGGAATAGATTTTTTATCTATTTCTGTGGCTATGTAAAACATTTGGAATCTCTTTTTCCATTTACCCCATGCTTCTGATGGGTTTGTTCCAGGCACAAATGGCTGCAAACTATTCCCGGTACTCGAGGCCATTTTTCAACGTGTTAGGCTTAATTGATATTTGAAATTTTACTTATCTTTCAAAATCCCACCGCTGCCACCATGTTGTATCTTTTATACGGGTTCATTTACCTTTAGCTTTATATATATTTAATATAGTTACAGCCTTTATGTATATAGACAATTAATATACCGCCGTGCTAGAACAATTATATATTTATTATGCGGCGTTGTTTACATACTGTGTTGCCAGATCTTTTGTAGCACAGTTTATAACTATATACAACAACATTGATAAGTTTTTATGGCCTCTTCATTCAATTTATGACTTCAGACGTTATTAAATGTAAATGGCGGTGTGTAAATAACTGCGGGGCAATTGTCCTAATATTTAGCAGACGCCTTTTTTTTTTTGGCGGGAAAATAGTTTTTATTTGTTTATTCCTCTCAACCCACGCCCTTAGAGTATATATATGATAATTTTTTAAAAAATCATTATTATTTTTTTTTTAGTGGGCAATATAAGATGAAATTTATGTTTTCTTAAATTTCTTTAATATATTACGCTCTATAAATTCATTAAAAAATCTAATATATGCATCTTTTTTAAATATTACGCTCTATATATATATAGAGAGATGGGAATTTTGCCTGGGAGGAAATTGATCTAATAAAATAAAGGTCGCATCTCCCGTTTTTTTAGATTAATTTCCTCCCGGCAAAATTTCCATCTATATTTTGGCCATAGATTTGGCCTAACCACCTTACCAGCTAAACATCTCTTTGGTAGATTATGAAGATTCCATTTGATCCCTTGTGAATATCATGAAATAAAGTCCGCCCTAGACTGACGAATTAGCTCGAAACCTTGGTCTCTAGGGGGACGTTTCTCAGTTTGCCAAAGTTGGTGTTGTGGCTTTGTCAACGACCTGAGTCCGCTAGTTTGCGGAGACGGTCAAAAGTTGCATATAATGGATTAGACAACCATCCGGAATCTCTATCAGTCCACGACACGCCGGGGGACAGCCTTCATTCAAGTCAGTGGTGGTACCAACGACATGTTGACTTTCTCAATTTGTGACAATCACAAACTCTGGAATGGGGGTCGGTGTAAGAATTGTCTAAACCGTTGGTTTTCGACCACTACGACCTGGGTTCGATTCCCATATTGGGCACTTTTTATGATTAAAAAAATGCTCCAATGGCCCCACGATTCTTGCAAAAGTCCAACCCCACCAGCGAATGTAAGTAACCAAACGGGGCTCTGGCACATTTGTAAGTGCAAAGTTGAACTGCTTTTCACATGTGTAGACATATGGTGCACTTACAGTAAAAGCAATCGCTATGATTATAATGGCCTGTACCACGTGTACTAGGGATAAGCAAAAAAACTCTGGAATAAAACAATTAATTGTTCTGATATTTTGTTTTTTTTTTAACTATACACACACACATACAGCTTTATTAAGACCACCGGTCTTATACAGATTCACCACAGGAAGGAAGCATAGATAGAGCTCCTATTATCCAGGCAGCACAGAACCCAACAACAGCCTCCAGGTCCGACACAGTAGCCACACCGTGTCAAGGTTAACGTATCACTGAAAAGACGAGTGTGGAATCAGCCGTGTTCTAGTCTTCACTTTCCTCATCCAAATGGACCACGACATTCGGCGATTCTATTAATCCCCTCTAAACATTGACTGAGGAGTTTTTTTTCAACTCTACATGTTTTTCACATACACCAATTACTGTCCCAATCTGACAACTCCTTCTTTTCGCGTCGATTTTTTGTTTTAGAGTAAGTTATTTACCTAATAGTTAACTATAGTTAATGCATATAGAGAGGGAATATGTAAATATAAACAAATTTTAACACCTTACCAAATGTTTTATTTTTATTTATTTCTCCTGACGAAGACAAAATATTTTTGTCGAAACGTTGAGAAAATAAAAAACCTCTAACTGGCCGAAGTGTCTATTTTTCATAGAAAAAGAATATTCTTATACATTGCATTGGTTATTTTCCACACAACTCTATTTATATATTAAGTTTTTATAATAAAAAACAAATATTTAGGAAATTTTAAAATATTTTTGACATATAGCCAATAGTGTGTTAAAAAACAAATATTTTAGAAAATAAGGTATATTTAAAAAAAATATCTTTGATGCATTCGAAAAGTTTATATTAAAGCTAAATACCAACAAAAAAAAATTGACATATCCAAATTAAACAAAAAACAAAAAAGCTAAATTGTGTTCCATCAATTTTTCCCGCCCAAACTTGAGCGATTGGGAGTTGTCGTCTGATGAGATATTTATGAGAATCATTATTGGAGAAAGTCCAAACGAAAATTTTTTAAAGCATTTGTTTGTCGTCTGCCAGGCCAATGGAGAAAATGATGATAGGTGGCTTTTATCTCGCGTTACTCTGTGTTCTTTTTTTTTCTTCTTACTTGAGATGGCTCTTTCTCTCTCTTATCGAATGGAATGCATTTGAAAATTTTCAAACAACCAGACTGACAACGCTGGCATGGAATCGTTTGATGGATGGAGTAAATTGGCGGGAAAACTAGATATCAGCCGAAATATGACTTTCTTCTGCTTTTTTAACTCTATAGCACTCGCGGTTTCTCTCTTTTTAGAATAATTTTACATTACATTATAAAAAGTTTATATATTCTTACATCATGAATTGTTCAATGAAATTTATAAACTGGTATGTGTGTATAATAGAACGAAAATACGTATATTTAAAAAATATATAGATAAAATTGGGTAACAAATAAATGTTGGCAATGTGTTATTTTGTTTTTATCTCTACAGACCTTACTGCAATAATAAAAGTTATTGAATGAAAGGACTTAGCTCATCAGTGGTTAATGCTCACAGCGGTTTCACCAAATTAATCTCCAGACAGCTCTACTATTGTATTGGATTGATTTTGTTATATACCCTGTCTTTTCTATGGAAGGTAGCTTAGGGATGTTTAAGGAATCTATGGATATAATCTTATGGGATTTTTCTAGTAAGTCTATGACTTTTTTTTTTAATATCGAGGAAAAACAACTAGGTACGCGTTTCGGGCTGTTGGCTCTGATCAGCGTGATGTAGGTGGTACGTTGAAGGCTTTCCTGTTCCAAAATCACTTTATTAGGTACCGCTCAACAAGAGCAACCTATTCACGATAAAATTGTGAAAAAGTTTTAAAATTACAAATATTTTCTCACAATGAGTTTATTTTTATTAAAAAACGCTAGCTTTCAAGCGATAATCGCTCTTCAACGGGCTTACTATAATATCGACTTTATCCCACCAGAAATATTTACAAAAACAAACGCGCGCAGCGTGGATATTTATAACTGAAACATTCAATGATCTATCAACATATTGCATAGACCGGTCACCAATTCAACATAACACAAACGAAATGTCACTACAAAAACATAAGAACAAATTTCAACGGTTACTCTTAGAATCTCTCGTTTCCAATGAATATAACAGCATAAACAGGAAGATACCATCACAATACCTTAGATATCTCAGAAGAAATCAATAGATCAATTTTATAGGTTATGGATGCCCTAAAAATTAAAATAGACGTATTCCATAAAAGAGTTAAATTACAAACCAATTTAAAATTTTCAGTTATAAATATATATCCACGCTGCGCGCGTTTGTTTTTGTAAATATTTCTGGGGGATAAAGTCGATATTATAGTAAGCCCGTTGAAGAGCGATTAACGCTTGAAAGCTAGCGTTTTTTTAATTAAAAAAAACTCATTGTGAGAAAATATTCGTAATTTAAAAGAGCAACCTAGTTTGTGATAATTTCAACAATGAATAATATATGAAGGTTATTCACCTATTAAACAAAATGTTAACGTGGGATTCAATTCCGGTTCATGACTGTCGGGAATCGAGCGTGTTACCCACTCGTCCACCGACTCTTTGCGTTGAAGGCTTGGTTCAAATTCACATAAATAGGTACCGCTCAGCAAGAGCAACCTAGTTCATGATAATTGAACAATGAATAATATGTGAAGGTTATTCACATATTAAACAAAATGTTAACGCGGGATTCAATCCTGGTTCATGGCTTTCGGGAATCGAGCGTGTTACCCACTCGTCCACCGACTTATTTTTATCTGCGTTGAAGGCCTGGTTCAAATTCACATAAATAGGTACCGCTCAGCAAGAGCAACCTAGTTCATGATAATTGAACAATGAATAATATGTGAAGGTTATTCACATATTAAACAAAATGTTAACGCGGGATACAATCCCGGTTCATGGCTGTCGGGAATCGAGCGTGTTACCTACTGGTCTACCGACTCTTTGCGTTGAAGGCTCACCACGGTGAACTCACAGTTATATTTTTAGTTTCATGAAAAAGGTATTTAAGGTCAAAAGGATGATTAAGAAAGTTAATGACATGTTTTAAAAAAGGAGTTTAAAATTCGAGAAGAAGAGGTGTTGGATCGTTTTTGAAGACAACTCTTTAGATAAATCGAGAGAGTTAATTACCTCGTATTTAGGGCAACAATCATCTAATTTACATACATCGTTCTAACCAGATTCAACTTGTGCAAAACAAGAGGGTTTTTTTTTTATTAAATTATGTTTGTGAGAGGGGGATGGGGGGTAGAAATCCGACCACAGCAGTCCCCACTGGACTCTTGGAATATTTCACCAAATTCTGGTCCAAGGTGACTAACGTGGAAACGTACCTATTTTCCAATGAAGACACGACAACAACAATTAGGTTTGTGATTAACCTACAATATAAACAACTGGTTTGGTCTTGATTTGAAACAAATAAATTTAATTCCTATTTTTAAAACCTCACAACTTATTTAAAAAGAAAAAAAAAAGTTTCTATAGTGTCGTAAAAGAGAGATAGTTTTGCATTCGTGTCATGGAGTGATAAGAGACGCATAAAGATAGTTTGTGTCATCTATCAGAATAACTATCAATTCAACTAAGAAAAAAAAGGCTTCTACTGATCGTGAAACTAAAAGTTGCTGATGGCTTGCGCCATCTATCGGAATAAAATATCAACTAATCGTTGATTTTTTTGTTATTTTGATTATTTGGCCAATATACAGGAATAATTAAAAAATCAACGATTAGTTGATATTTATTCCGATAGATGGTGCAAGCCATCAGCAACTTTGAGTTGCACGATCAGGAGATGTCCTATTTTTCTTTAGTTATCCACCTGATCCAAATACAAATTCACTTGTGTACTCTATTTTTCATATCTACTAGACTTTACAAAGATAGTTTGTGCCAACTATCGGAATAACTGTCAAATAAATATATAGAAAAAAAAACATTTTGCCAGGTTGTAATTATATATATGATTAATTAGAAACAAATTTTATGTGTGAAGTGGATAATTAATTATAAATATATTAACTATAGATAGTTTGTACTATCTATTGGAATGACAATCGTCTGACGATCATAAAGATGGTTTCTGCCATCTATCCACAAAAATTTGCATAACCTAAATGTAGATTTTTTTCAATTTAGAAGTAAACTCTTTTTGTCAAATATAAATTTTCAATAAGAAAATCCAGTTACGAAAATATTTCGGATTTTTATCAAATTCTACAGCATATTGGCCATTCTATTATTGTGCCCTATTTATTAATCCCGCCAATTAAAATAGATTCAAATATCTGCATATATATATATATATATATATATATATATATATATATATATATATATATATATATATATATATATATATATATATATATATATATATATATATATATATATATATAGTGTAGAAACTATATAACAAAATTATAACAGTGATTCTAATTTTAAAACTTAAGTAGCAAACTGATAATAATCGTTGTTAATTTTTATTGTTATTAATTATAAATATATAATTAACTTGAGGATGTATTAGAAGTAAAGGATTTTTTTTTCTCTCTCTATCTACAAATTAATAACATTTTACAAATTTTATAATTTGAATTTAAATGATCATAATAGTGAAGATAATATTAATACAAAACTGGACTATAAAATTAAATAACTATTTATTATTATATATATAAATTTACTATCAAATATTTATCCATACATAGCTCTGCTTTATCGTTTCCAAGTATCTAAGTCAATATGCAAAGAGAGGGGGAGAAAATAGCGGAGCAGACGATAAGCTGCACATCCTTGGGGAACAGAAGATTTATGCCCGGTCGTCTGCCTCGGGAATATTCCGGTTTGCGGTCAAAACTTATTTTTTCTTTAAATTAAGTTTTTTTTTTCTTCTTGGCGCACTCACAGATTAATTATTTAAAAATAAATTATGTTACCAGATTGATGTTACATATTTTTTTAATGATATGACTATTTTTTTTTTTTTTAGCCTTCACAAGTGTAATACATGTTTATTTACATTTTAAATACATTATGCTTTAGAAAATGTGTTGTTTTTATTAAGTAATAATAATATTTTATTATAAATCACTCTTTTTTAATGTTCTCTTTTATCTTTTATTTGTATGGGAATTTGAGATATCGTCTGGTTTCTATTTATTATTTTCAATGGATATTGTTCTATCAATGTGTTTACGTTCAAATTTAATAAAATTTTATTTATCAGAATCATTGAAGATTTGCCGCTAATATGTAGAGAATGGCTTGGGACTCATCATCAGTAACAAAATCCTATTTACATATAATACAATTTAAAAATTTTCAAGTGATTAATTTTATCATTGCAATAAGGATAGTGGGAAAATAGTTTTATGTAATAGGTAAATACGTTTTATAAATAGTTCCAATTTCCGATAACAGATGGCGCGCTTGCATCATGTGTATATCAAGTCGAAATGAACTCTTTTTCTGTCGTCTGTGAAAGAACAGTGCTCGAAGTATATATATGTAAATTTATATTTTATTATTTGTATTTCTCTCTCTCTACTGTCCTCGAAGCTTATGTCCCACCATAGTTTGTTTAAAATACTTTTTTTTACAAGAGTATATATCAAACAAAGGCTCACGTGCACATGGGGAAAGGGAGGAAAAATTACTGTATTATTTTGTTGTTGTATGGCGAATCCATACAGGGCAATGGGCCCTAATAAAAGCCTTTTTGTTGTTGTTGAGTATATCTTCATTATCAGTGAAAAAAAAAAACAGCCAAATACAATAATAGAACAGTATGGTAGATTAAACTGGCAAAACCGCTGGGAAGGTTCAACACTGATGAGTCAGGCCCTCCCTTTATTTTTATCATTGCTGTAGAAAAATTGTTTTATCTAAAATAAATATATATATACACGTCATTAATAGTTGAAATTTTCCAATAAAAGAGAGAGAGCTGCATAATAGTACTCAAAATAGTATTAGTTAAAAAAGACTTTTGCATTGAGTGTTTATGACATCGAATACAACTGGAAAGCTTTTAGAAAGACTCGGATTCTTTTCAACGGGCTAATCATTGAATGTGAGGATCCTGGGATGCAACAGGTTACTACATATATACTCAAAATTTAAACTTAAGGAAGTTGTACCTTCTACCATGTATATCGGGATCAGGCAATAACTCTGAAAGATACACTCATGGACAAAACTTAAGGAAGTTGTACCTTTTACCATGTATATCGGGATTGAGACAATAACTCTGAAAGATACACTCATGGACAAAACTTAAGGAAGTTGTACCTTTTACCATTTATATCGGGATTGAGACAATAACTCTGAAAGATACACTCATGGACAAAACTTAAGGAAGTTGTACCTTTTACCATGTATATCGGATTGAGACAATAACTCTGAAAGATACACTCATGGACAAAACTTAAGGAAGTTGTACCTTTCAGCATGTATATCGGGATTGAGACAATAACTCTGAAAGATACACTCATGGACAAAACTTAAGGAAGTTGTACCTTTTACCATGTATATCGGGATTGAGACAATAACTCTGAAAGATACACTCATGGACAAAACTTAAGGAAGTTGTACCTTTCAGCATGTATATCGGGATTGAGACAATAACTCTGAAAGATACACTCATGGACAAAACTTAAGGAAGTTGTACCTTTTACCATGTATATCGGGATTGAGACAATAACTCTGAAAGATACACTCATAGACAAAACTTAAGGAAGTTGTACCTTTTAGCATGTATATCGGGATTGAGGCAATAACTCTGAAAGATACACTCATAGACAAAACTTAAGGAAGTTGTACCATTTAGCATGCATATCGGGATTGAGACAATAACTCTGTAAGATACACTCATAGACAAAACTTAAGGAAGTTGTATCTTTTAGCATGCATATCGGGATTGAGACAATAACTCTGAAAGATACACTCATAGACAAAACTTAAGGAAGTTGTACCTTTTAGCATGTATATCGGGATTGAGACAATAACTCTGAAAGATACACTCATAGACAAAACTTAAGGAAGTTGTACCTTTTAGCATGCATATCGGGATTGAGACAATAACTCTGAAAGATACACTCATAGACAAAACTTAAGGAAGTTGTACCTTTTAGCATGCATATCGGGATTCAGACAATAACTCTAAAGATACACTCATGGACAAAACTTAAGGAAGTTGTACCTTTTAGCATGCATATCGGGATTGATACAATAACTCTGAAAGATACACTCATACACAAAACTTAAGGAAGTTGTACCTTTTAGCATGCATATCGGGATTCAGACAATAACTCTGAAAGATACACTCATGGACAAAACTTAAGGAAGTTGTACCTTTTAACATGCATATCGGGATTGAGACAATAACTCTGAAAGATACACTCATAGACAAAACTTAAGGAAGTTGTACCTTTTAGCATGTATATCGGGATTCAGAAAATAACTCTGAAAGATACACTCATGGACAAAACTTAAGGAAGTTGTACCTTTTAACATTTATATCGGGATTGAGACAATAACTCTGAAAGATATTACAGTGACCTTTTACATCATCAATAGTTTTGTTTCTGAGTGTATATATGACATGTTATATATAACGCGTGGATTTCTTTACGAAATACTATTATAATAATAATTTCTATAGTGCAAATGGGAGATAACATAAAGAAACTCGTCGCTCTTTGCTTTGATTTCTTCTTCAAAAGTGTTTGTATATTTTAAAATGAAACAGCCGCCAGGTTAACTTTTGATAAGACCCAGCCTGGTACCTGTTAGTGTTTTATACCTATTGGCTGCCTCATATCTCAGTCACCACAACAGATAAGCCTTTATTTAGACAAATACAACCAAACTTCAGCAAACACACCTTATATATATATATATAGATGGAAATATA